GCTCAGCCTCTCATGCTGGAGTGCAAGAGTATAAAATAAGGTAGCTGAGGACATGAAGCTTGGCTGCCTGCACCATTTGAAGAAAGAAAAATCAAACTGTGTTTTATGAGTTTCTCTGAGTGGGCTGATGGTAAAAGTGATTGCATAAGTGAATAAATTGAAATATGTATCCTGGTTGTGTCAAAAGCAAAAATAATTATTTTGTTCTTGGTGAGATGTAGCGTTTAACTGCCAACACATCAATCCAAATAAAAAGGACATCTGCATTTAGATCTATTAATACATTTATTAACAAAGGATGTATCTGAATTATCCATCCATTTGATCCACATTTTGCAGAAAGGCAAGCCAGCATGGAGAGGCCATGTCACGGGTGATTAAAAATGTCACTGGAATCTCAGGGCAATGGGAGAGTCAAGAAAGAGGCAAAAAAAGAGAAGTCTCAGAGCAATGGAGGTGGTCTTTTTTCAGGCATTCTTGCCTGTGAACGGCTGATTAGGATTTTCCTGAGCCCCTCAGAATGGTGAAAAGCAAATGTGGAGTGTGTGATCTTTAAGGATTAGGTTCCATAGAACTCTTCTACCTTCTGTCTCCTGAATTTGCTGTCTTTTAATTCTAACCATGGTCGACTTAGGGGTTCTTGCACACACACACATTTACCTGAAGTTGATTTATGCTTGTGTATGAGTGTACATTATTTAGACCTAGAATAATTGATGCAATTTGACAGAAAATTTGGAAAACTTAGAGAAAAAGAAGCATGATGCCTGATGAACCCCTCACTCATGAATATGGACATCCCAGCAGCGGGTAGCATTCCCACTGTAGCACCATGGACTGGATATGAATCCAGATTATCCACCTCCTCAAAGGGTGGTTTGAAAATTATATAATGCTTGTAAAATGTATCTTCCCCGGCACATAATAAATGTTAGCTGAGGACACACACAGCAAGACGCCTATGTAAAAAGATGTTCATTGCAGTAATAAATGGAACTTTTAGAAGCAATGAGATACCTACCAATGAAATAATCTTATGGCATAGGTGTTCTGTAGCAAAACTCTCAGAGATCCCAAAGGATGCAGCAGGTCTGTGCTAAATGTTAGGCTAAATGACAAAGACATGCATTGTTAAATAACAGATAGATACAATGCATAATATTTTAAAATCACAAACCCAAACCATACCTTTCAGCACGCATATATATGTGTGCATGCATGCATAAGTGCACATACGTACATGTGCATATATGTCTGTGTGTATCTGTACACATTGATATCTATGTAATATGCCAAACTGATGACAATACAGATTAACTCAGGGTAATCGCGAAGAAAAAGTGAGGTCAAAAGGACTTTATTTTTAAAGTTCATTCATTCTTTAATCAACACATGAAAGTGGTAAATATTTATTATGTACAGCCTGATGTCTTGAAAGAGGTACCAAAGAGGACTTTAGCTTTCCTGTGTGTAGTGTGTGTTTAATTTTCCCAGCTGGAATTCAGTGTATTGCTTGCTTGCTTAGAAGACGGGCTCAGTTTTGAGCTCTGGCACTGATTATTTTGGTGACTTTAGAAAAATTACAAGACTCTCATCTTTATGAACAAAATGGCAATAAGAGACACAACCATCAAAGAGTGTCACAGGTGGCTCTTTGGAGGTGTTTTGCTGTGAAAAATATCAATAGATAATGTGTCGTGGGTGGAGAGCAAGGTGCAGGGAAGAGAAGGCGCCAAGTGTTTTGTTTCATTTGCTTGTGTGCTTCATTTTAATGTTATATGAAGCTATGCTTTATCTTTTTTTTTTTTTTTTTTTTAAACAGAGTCTCACTCTGTCGCCCAGGCTGGAGAGCAGTGGCATGACCTCGGCTCACTGCAAGCTCCACCTCCTGGGTTCTCTCTGTTGTCCTGCCTCAGCCTCCCGAGTAGCTGGGACTACAGGCGCCTGCCACCTCGCCCGGCTAATTTTTTTTTTCTTTTTTTGTATTTTTAGTAGAGAAGGGGTTTCACCGTGTTAACCAGGATGGTCTCAATCTCCTGACCTCGTGATCTGCCCGTCTCGGTCTCCCAAAGTGCTGGGATTACAGGCGTGAGCCACCGCACCCGGCCTGAAGCTATGCTTTATCTTAAAATTATGAAAACTAAATGGACTAATACATATAAGATGCTTAATAGACCGCCTGATACAGTAAGTACGTACCCAATATTATGTAAGCTAATGTTAGAAACTTTTTTTGAGAGAGAGTCTTGCTCTGTTGTCCTGGTTGAAGTGCAGTGGTGTGATCTTGGCTCACTGCAACCTCTGCCTCCTTGGTTCAAGTGATCCTCCCACCTCACCTCCCAAGAGTAGCTGGGACTACAGGTGTGTGGCACCAGGCCCGGCTAATTTTTGTACTTTTTTGTAGAGACAGGGTTTCACCATGTTGCCCAGGCTGGTCTTGAATGCCTGAGCTCAAGGGATCCACCTGCCTCGGCCTCCCAAAGTGTTGAGATTACAGGCATGATCCACTGGCCCAGCCCACTTCATTGTTTTTAAGTGGTGAAAATAAAAGCTCTGTATACAATTTAGGGAGAACACTTGCTTATTTTAAGGGGATTTTTGGAAACTTTACTTGAGGACTATTTATACTAATATTTACATTGGCCTACAAATGACTCTTTGGAGTTTTGTAAACTCCAATCCTAAAACAAGAATCTCACCTGTCAAGCAGTTCAAAACCATTAAAAATTGGGGGCTTGGTCTCTTATTACTAAAAATAAGTTTTTTTAAATTATTTACTTGTTTTAATTTTTATCTGACCATATTAAAAATGCTAGATGGCCCATCTAATTGTATTATTTGAAAATCCTGAAGAAATTTGTAGGGAAAAAAAATCAGTATAGTAGTTCATCAGCATTACAATAATAAATCAGCATTGGATACTCTGAGAAGCTGGCATTTAGAAACAACAGAAGAATGTGAAGGATTTCTGAGGGCATTTCTGAGGGGAAAGTGTTCCAGGCAGAGACCACATGGTAGAAAGGCCTCCTGGTGTTGGCAAAGGGCAGAGGGAGTCAAAAGTATGAAGGGACAGGCAGCCCACGCTCACCCTCCAGGCCCTCCCCACGCTGGTAAGCCCCAGTGCTCAGGAAAGGACAGCGATGGAGGCTGTTCCTGGACATTCTGTGAGTCACCGGGGGCCCTGCCAAGTGCTCCTCTCTGCTCTTGGGAGCTTTTCTTGAGGATTATTAAGCATCTCCACATGATGCGATGCTTCCTTCCCAGATGAATGTTATTTTAAAAGCTTCTTTCCTGCTTCATGTGAATGGAGATTTGCATTCATCCCTCGTCATATGAATTTTGCATTGTGGGTGGGGGTGAGGAAGAGCATAGTCCCTAAAGCGAGTGTCTTCAATCTGTTTATAATTCATCTCTCAGCCAGGGAGCAGCGTCCGTGTCACCTGAGGAGGCAGATGCTCCCCTGCCCTGGCGTCTGGAGGGAAGACGGCGCCAAGGCTGAGGCACGGGAGCATCTTTCATTCCCCCCCCCAATGCTTGCTGCTTCATCAACATCAACGTCCTGCTGCCAGGGCTGATGAATGGCTCAGGAGCGTCACAGCTCGGTGGCTCTTATGCCATGTGCACTGGCAGCTGCCACTGCCGTCCTACCTGTGACCCACACGTGTCTTCCTGAAATGGCCAAAGACAAGCTTTCCTCAAATTTTGCCGCCTTCTCAGTCAATCAGCAATGCTAATCAAGTCTGTGTGCTCAGCTAGGATTTTGGACCTTCTTACGTGAAGGTGTCGAAACGAGGTCCCCTTTCCTGAAGGCTGACTGTTGCTTTGTCTCCAATGAGTGACCCCAAGACTGTGCACAGTGAGCAAGAGGAAGGGGGCAGGAGATGGAGGGCGGAGGTGGTGTGCGAGCTGGGGTCTATTGCACACTCTTGGGATTCTTTATTTGTAAATTTTGTTCCCGATGCAATGGGTGTTGTTGAAGATATTTAAGTGGAGGGGCAAGGTCTGATTTATTCTGTAAGAGGATTGCTCTGGCAGAGGCATGAGAGGATCTGGGGGCAATTGGGGCTCTCGCAGTTGTTCAGATAGGAGGGTAGATGGTCGTGTGGACCAGGTTGGTGCTGATGGACATGATGAGGTGTGGACCATCTACATCTATAGTTAAGCTGCAACTAGCAGAATTTGGTAAAGAATTGAATGGGGGAACACTTAAAGGCTAAGTTGGTAATTTGATGTAAAATGAACAACTCATTCCTGTTAAACCATGTCATGATTGGTTTTGGATGACCAGATGTTGACGTTTGCTGCAGGTGATGGCCAGCTGGCCTGATTCATGTGTCTGTGGGGTGTGTTGGCTCCAGTCAGCCTGCAGGTGAGTGTCATAGAAACGCAAGTGAGTGGAGACCCGTGCTGCTGCAAACGTCTTCAGTGTCCACTGGAGGGCTCTGTCTGCTTTGATGGGGACAGAAGTCATTTACATTATCCAGCAGCAGTTTAAAATCTGAACGACCTCACATCGTATTTCTAATATTTCAGTGCCCAGATAGGACAGAACCCCAGGCAGGACCCAACTGACCTAGCTTTCTTTTTTCTCCCAATAATATATCTTATTTTTAGAATGGTTTTAGATTTATAGGAAAATTTAGAAGATACCCATGCACTTGTTTGCCCCTATTATTAACATCTTACATTAGCAAAGTACATTTGTTACAATTACTGAACAAATATTGTTTATGTATTGATTTATTTTGAAGACAGGGTCTCACTTTGTGACCCAAGCTGGAGTGCAGTGGTGCAACCGTAGCTCACTGCAGCCTTGACTTTTCTGGCTCAAGAGATACTCCCACCTCAGCTCCCTGAGTAGTTGATACCACAGGCTCACACCATCATGCCTAGCTAATTTTTATTGGTTTGTTTTTTGTAGAGATGTGGCCCCAGTATGTTGCCCAGGCTGGTCTTGAGCTCCTGGCCTCAAGCAATCCTCCTGCCTCGGCTTCCCAAAGTGCTGGGATTACAGGTGTGAGCCACCATGCCCACCCCAATTACTGAACTAATGTTGATACATTATTATTAACTAAAGCGCATACTTTATTCTGACTTATTTTTTGCTCAATGTCCTTCTCTTCCAGGGTCCAGGAGGCCACATTACATTTAGTCATCCTGTCTTCTTCAATTCCCCTTATCTACGAGTTTCTCAGACTTTGTTTTTGAAGACTTTGGAAGTTTTGAAGAGTGTTGCTCAAGTATTTTATAGCTATGCCTCAACTGGGGCATATCTGATGTTTTGCTATGGTTAGGGGCAGACCCAGACGTGCCATTCCACATTCTTTCCTACCATGAGGACCCCGACTCAGACAAGCACTGGAGGGTATGCAGGATTGCATGATGGATATGCTACCCTGGAGAAGTTTTCTTCCTGGGGAAAATAGAAAATGCATGGATGCAATTACTAAATATGAATATGGGGCACTGTATCACTCTCGAAGTAATCTAACCCGTTCCCATGGCTTTAAACATCATTTGTGTGGACAGCCCTCGATTCCGTATCTCTAGTTTTGCTACATACTAGTGTAGAAAGTCATGGGCAGAGGAAGAGTGGGGTCTCTCAAGGGGTGTCCTAAGAAGAAGTTTTCAAAGTAAACAGAGCACCTCTAAAGGCTTTGCTTCTGATGGATAAACATGGACTGTCCGCAGAGACAGGAGTAGTGCGATCAGAGAACCCATGAGGCAGACAGCGAAGGAGAAGGGAAGGGAAGGGAAGCACAGCACATGGCAAATTGTCTCCATGCATTCGCTCCTCATTGTCTGTATGTGCTTTGCAGACACTGACGTTTTTCTTCTTCCTTAATGTCAGTGAATTGGGGTGACTAATGATAAAGATTTGTGAAAATACACAGGTGGCCGTGTACTTTCCATTGTGGTGTTTCAATCATTCCTTCTCTCCTTCTCTTCTCCTCTTCCTCCTCTCTCTCTCTCTTTCTTTCTCCCTCGCTCTCCCTTTTTCCCCACCTCTCTCTCCTCTATCTCTCGTTCCTCTTCTCTCTTTCTCTGTCTCAAATCCTCCTTCCTTTCCCTCCTCGGTGGTGGGCACATTCCTTGAACAGTCACCTCAGTCTTCTGTAGAAATAAACAAAGTAACAGACATCTTTGGATTCACTTCTCCCTCAGCTCCAAAGACATTATTTGGCTAAACTCCCAGATGATAATACAGAGCGGGAAGTATTTGAGTTCTGCAGTCATTTCTCTGAGGTTGAAAGAATCGGAACATAGAGCTAGAATTGAGCTAAATGCTGCACGATGTTAAATAAGAATTAATAAGAAACTTTATTGGACCCTCAGGGAGATGTGGCAAATGTAATATTTTTAATGGGTTTAATTAGAGGTTGGTACAGGAGATGCTTACAAGACGGGCACAGGCCAGTCACAATATGGCCTGATGGTGAGAAACAGAGAACATACGTGAATTAAAAAGCCCAGGTCCATCTCTTTCTCAGTGCATGGAAATGGACCCATTGTTTCCCTTCTCAGAGTGTCAGTCTCCTCATTTGTAAATGGAGATAAAAGCAGAGTATTCCAGCCGGGCAGGGTGGCTCATGCCTGTAATCCCAGCACTTTGGGAGGTGGAGGCAGGCAGACCATGAGGTCAGGAGTTCAAGACCAGCCTGACCAACATGGTGAAACCCTGTCTTCACTAAAAATACAAAAATTAGTTCGGTGTGACGGCGGGAGCCTATAATCCTAGCTACACGGGAGGTTGAGGCAGGAGAATCGCTTGAATCCAGGAGGCGGAGGTTGCAGTGAGCTGAGGTGGCACCATTGCACTCCAGCTTGGGTGACAGAGCAAGACTCCATCTTGGAAGAAAAAAACCAAAAAACCAAAAACCTCATAAGGTTGTTGCAATCGTTGAATGGGATAATGACCGTAAATGTCTTAGCATGTTGTCTGTTACATGGTAGACCTTAGATAAATTATTATTGTTATCACAACCATGATTATTATTGACAAAGATCACATGGGTAAAATATGTCCTAATTCTGGGATTTTAACTTAGATTTCCATATTCTCAGCATGACTTTTTTTTTCCCCCCTCTGCTGTATGGCTAAAAGGCAAACAAACGAAACCAGCATTCTTTGAGTTTTCCAATCATGCATGTTTAAACCATCTTGTTCGTCTGAGGGCAAGAATCCAGAAAAGTATAAATTAAGCAGATAATAAGAAAGCAAAACTGCCAGCGATCTCCGCCCTTTGTATGGAAAGTGCCGTATTTCAGCCTTCGAAGCGCAGTGTCATTTCAGAGCGGCTGAAGGTGAGTCTCCAGGCAGTCTGCATCCCTCTGGGGTCTGTGAGAGCCGCTGTTCATAGGTAGGTCAGTCCTCTGGGGTTAGGGAAGCTTTTCTAGGATGTGTTTCTCCAGGGAGCCCTTGATAACCATTTTGGACCCAAGTAAATGATCCCTAATGTCCAGCGTTGCCAGACAAGACTAGGAAAAATGGCTTCAGCTGATAAAAGCTGCTGTGTGAACAGGTTGCAAGTGACTACTCATCATTGTGTATTGACGACTGGGAAAGGATAGATGGTGCAAGTATGCCTTAGGGATGTGCATCGCACTTCCAGGAAACTTTGTGAAAAAGAAAAAAGATCATTCCTGTAAAAATGTGATAAGAATAAGAGCAGCATTAATAATTGTCCGTTGTGTGTCAGGCACAGGGCTCTGATGATCACACGCTCTTTGGATGACCTGATGCGCAATCTCTAACCACGCTCTTCCTCGCGGCCTTCTAACCAGGCTCCTCCTGACCGCATTCCAACCACGATCCTCCTGGCGGCCTTCTAACCACACTCTTCCTGGCGGCCTTCTAACCAGGCTTTTCCTGGTTGCTTTCCAGATGCCACTGCCACATTCTACCCAGGGAGACAGAAGCAGAAGTCAGCCACGGGGTTGGGGAAAATACATTTGCTTGTGAAATACACCATCTTCTCCTCTACTTTCCTCCTCATTAAACATTTTTTTAAATTTAAATTTTTATTTATTTTATTTTTTTTTGAGACAGAGTCTTGCTCTGTCGCCCAGGCTGCTTGCAGTGCAATGGCACAATCTTGGCTCACTGCAACCTCCTCCTCCCGGCTTCAAGCAATTCTCTTGCCTCAGCCTCCCCAGTAGCTGGGACTCCAGGCACGCTCCACCATGCCCTGCTAATTTTAACATTTTTTATTTTTATTTTTAGTAGAGACAAAGTTTCACTGTGTTGCCCAGGATGGTCTCAAACTCCTGGGCTCAGGCATTCTGTCTGCCTCAGGCTCCCAAAGTGCTAGAATTACAAGCATGAGTCACTGCACCCAGTCTCCTCCTCTTTTTCTTCTTTGAACAAAGCTGTGATGGCTAGAGCTACTGCAGGCATCTTGTGACTATGAGAGAGCAGCCCAGAAAAATCAAAGCCCTTGGCCCAGATAGCACTGAGCTTCTAAACCAATCGTCCAAATTATCTACTCCTGGAATTTGTGTTATATTCTTAAAAATATCTTTATTTGTTTAAGCTAATGTGGTCAGGTTTTCTGTCAGTCGCAGACAAAAACGTCTCTATCACATACAAAATGACATCTTAAATTACACTTACAATATTAAGTATAATATCTTTAAAAGTGAGAAGAAATTGAGGTTTATAATGGCAAGGAGCAGAGCTAGGATCTGAACCCACATAAGACAATATTCTTTACGTTATGTTCTGTTGACTCTCTCAAAAAAAGTTCATCTTTAACTCCTTACAATTTCAGTTTTCCTGGTACCTTATTTAAGAAATATGTAAATAAGAAAAGAGAAATTGCCCATCATCCCAACTCCTAGAAATAACCACTGAAAGTAAAAATTTTAAAATTATTTCCTTTATACCTTTCATCTGCAAAGTAAGGAACAGGCGAGTTTGTGCTATGCACACACACACAGATACACACAGATACCGATTTTCCCTTTCAACTCAGTTGTGACAAATTCAGGGTACTCAGTATTGTTTATTCAGTATTGTTTATTCACAAATTCCATGAATTCTACCTCTCTACTTACTAAAAGAAGAACCCAGCTGTCCTCAAAGCATCTTCCTGTTTGTTTGTTTGTTTTGTTTATTGTTAGTTTTCTGCAGAACCCCAAGTAGCAGGCTCCCTGGTACCTACACACCAACTTGCTAGTCCTTGTTCACTGCCAGGTTCCGCCTTTATCTTCCCCAGTTCTGATACCTGAACAGTCACACAGCAGAGCACTGTCACTACCCCTGCTAACAGCCCATGGAGAGAACTGCAAATTCCATGTCAATGCTGCTATCTCGTAATAATGTTAAAATCACCAGTCCTTGGTGGGTTAGAGTCATTACCAGCATTTTCTTCTTTAGGAGAAAAAATAATCCTCTCCTCAACTCTGCTCCTCGCTTTATCGCTTGGGGTTCATGACAGCCTTCCCCATCCCAAATTCCTGCAATCGCTCCTCCGAAGTTGTCAGCAAATTTAATCCCATGCAGACTTTAATTCTAGGTCTTCTCCTGGCTCCTCAAGACATCCTTACATCAGAACCCCTTATAAATTCCCAGAAGACTCATAAAGAAATGAAATCCTCCCTTCTGAATCTGGTTAGCATGTTAATATTTACTGAATGTATTTTCCCAAATTAGTTTCTCTATTGACTGGTTGCTTCCATGAGAATGAAAGAACTTCCTAAAGGAAATGGACTTGCGTATATATGAAAAGCAATAGAAGGACCATATGGTTTCAATGAACTTCTTTGGAAGTTGTTATGATTTTGTCTTGCTGATGTCCTTTTGCTCTGTTACTGGGAAAGAGAGCTATGTTTCTGAGCAGTGCTTGATGATGGAAGAAAGGGGGCAGGTCCTTGTGGGGCACAATCCTGCAATTTCTCCCTTGTGAAGTGGTGCATGGTAACCTACAAATGACTCTCAAGTGTCTGCACTTGGTGGACTCATGTGTAACCATATCAGATTAGATCAAACACAGTGGTCGTTAAGAGTCCCATCGAGCAAGATGACAGTGAAAATTACACAGCAAGGACTGACGTAACTTTCCAAGAGTGAGCTGAGGGACGCTGCGTGGGAGCGTGTCTTTGTATCTGGAAAAGGAAAAGAAAACTGCATTCATTTTTGATGATGGATTTGGTCACGTACAAAAGGCAAGGGCACAATTTGAAAAGAACAAGATGGCTTTCCTAAAACAACAGCTGGAAACACTTTGCAGCAGCTGCTGATATAAATAATTCACTGTTAATTGATTCTGAGGCCAGTCCTGAAACTGGCAAGCCAAGTTGCATGACAGGAAGGTGCACCATGGAAAGTGATAATGGCATGGATATTTATTCCCATTCACCCTTGCATGGGATAAGGAAGAGGCCAGCCACACTCCTTTTGATTCATTTGTGAGTCAGCCCTGGAAGCATCTTTAAAGCAGCAGCTCCCGTTGTGCCCTTCAGTTCCTGGATGAAGACGGAGATGCCAGTGTTTAACAATGACTTACTTCTTTTATATTTCCCTTTCACTGAAAGTTTCTGAGTTGACATCCACTTGCCACTGGAGTGTTCAGGGGATATTATGAGATTAGCAGCATAAGAAGGTGGCTAAAGGAGCATTTGACCTCTGGCTTCAAACCCATATGGGGGCTCCCTTGTGAACGTGCAACTTTATCTCAAAATCAGTCCTTATACCTGAGTGTGTAATTGGTGTTTTAATAGTAAGCATTAAAATACAAAAATTTATGTATGCTTGCTTTATTTTTTCACATACAAATAGAAATAAAGTATACATGGACATAGATAATTCTCAACCTCTGAAAAGCCTGTGTTCTCTGGGGCTCATTATCCCACACCACCCATTTCTCCCACAATAAGTTTGCTGAGCTTAGTGCACAGACTGTAGAATTTACTCTTCACTGGCCTTACCACAAGGTTAAGGAATTAACTAATTGTATGACTAACTTTTTGCTTAATCCCTGTCTGTGTTTCCTGATTGTAAGCTCAATGAGGGTAAGCTGGGACCTTCGTTTGTTTTGTAATAACCCAGTGAGAAAGAAGAAAAGTTGTCCCTGATATCTGAGATAGGCTAGGCCTTGCTGTTCTCTTATAAAATAGGAATATTTTCATAGAATATCGATATCACAGAAGCCCACTTTGTGACCATGATGGATTAAGACAACGGTAGGATCATCCCACAATCTTGTCTGAACACAGGCAAGACAAAAACATTTGCCGAAATACAAAATTCCAAACATTTTCTTGCCCCAGGTAATAGGAGTGACTGAAGCTTAAATTCTTGCTTCTAATGGGTGGAAAAAGAAAAAAGAATGACTAAGACCTACTATTTGATAGCACAACAGAGTGACTATAGTCAATTATAACTGAATCGCACATTTAAAAATTACTAAAAGAGTATAATTGAATTGTTTGTAACACAAAGGACAAATGCTTGGGGGAATGGATACCCCATTCTCCATGATATGCTTATTTCACATTGCATGCCTGTATCAAAACATCTCATGTACTTTATTCAGAAACATATACACCTACTATGTATCCACAATTTTTTTTTTTAAATCCCTGCTTCTTTGAACCCTCCCAAATCACCCAGTGCCTGTCTCTGAATCCTATACAAGGCTCTTTCTAACATCCTTTGAATAAGAAAGCTCCTCAGTTCCCCATGAAGTGCAAAGAGAAATCAGTGTGGCCTGTTCAACTTCAGGTACCTTCTTCTGGCTTTGGCTGGAGGTCATTGAGAGCAGGATGCAGCACTGGGTTTCCACTGGCAAATGTTTGAACACAGATCCATGAGGCCAAAGAACAATTGTATTTTCTGCAATCAGGTCCTTGAAATAAGTGAAATCAGAAAAGCAAATTAATAAGAAAAAATCACACACAATATACAGCTTAAAGGAATTAACATTTTCCTACAATACCAGTTGCAATTTTAAAGTAAACGATAAGTGAATTCTAATTAATGAAAATTTCAGTTCCCTACAAAGTTTCCTGAATCAAAATTCCAACTTTGTAACTGGTTGAAGGACAGGATTCCTGTAGCCAAAGGATGCTTTGAAGGGAGCATTGCCTATGCCTCCAGGCTCAGCTCTGTTTCCTCCACTTTCTCCTCCCGCAGGCAGCCCTCCCTGACCACTGCAGACCACCCTGGCCCTTATTTCTCCTCATCTGCATGTGCTAACCCTACAGATGAGCTTCAGGGTCTCCAGGGCCTCTATAGGGAATGGAAAAGAAATGGAACAGGTGTCTCTCAGGGTCGGCCAATCCTTGTCCTGCAGAAACAGAGGGTCTCCTTTGACAGGTCTCCAATTGTTCTAGAGAAGCCAGATATCTCTGTTTTAAACTGAAGTATCCTTAGTTTTAAGATGTTTCTTTTTTGGCCGGGCGCGGTGGCTCATGCCTGTAATCCCAGCACTTTGGGAGGCCGAGGCGGGTGGATCACCTGAGGTCGGAGTTCAAGACCAGCCTGACCAACATGGAGAAACCCAGTCTCTACTAAAAACACAAAAATTAGCCAGGTGTGGTGTCGCATGCCTGTAATCCCAGCTACTCGAGAGGCTGAGGCAGGAGAATCGCTTGAACCCGGGTGGCAGAGGTTGCGGTGAGCTGAGATAGTGCCATTGCACTCCAGCCTGGGCAAAAAGAGCGAAACTCCGTCTTAAAAAAAAAAAAAAGTTTTTATTTTTGTTTTAATCCTATGAGTCCACCAAAGTTGTTTCTTGATGCCAACTAGTCTTTGGGCCACCATGTCATCATGCCCGACTTAGTCTAAAAGTCTCTTGCGTTTCTGTTTCCTCACCTTTGCCTTTATTTCCTGTCTCTACTTCTCATGCACTTCTCTCCATGACAAGGTATAGAAAGGTCCTGTGTGCTAATAAAAAAGTAAATTGGGCCAGACACATCTGTAATCCCAGCACTTTGGGAGGCCGAGGCAGGTGGATCACCTGAGGTCAGGAGTTCAAGACCAGCCTGGGAAACATGGCAAAACCCCATCTCTACTAAAACTACAAAAATTAGCTGGGTGTGGTTGTGGACACCTGTAATCCCAGCTACTTGGAAGGCTGAGGCAGGAAAATTGCTTGAACCCAGGAGGCAGAGGTTGCAGTGAGCTGAGATGGTGCCACTGCATTCCAGCCTGGGTGACAGATCGAGACTCCACCTCAAAAAAAAATAAATTGACTCAATGAAATGGTGATGGAAACTTGGCAAACTGGCTGCCACCAGGATCCACTCTACCCACCAACGTATTTTATTCGCCACATCCTCACTATACTCTCTCCCTTTAAGCAGAGGTGTAGTTCTTGTTTGAGGATTCATCTTTAATTTGTGCATTATTCAACAAATATTTGTCAAGTGCTATATTGCCAAGTATTCTAGGCACTGAATTTTAATATATTTAATATATATACTGAATAATAACATAACATATATATATAAAATATATATTTAATATATATTTAAAATACATATTAAATATATAGTATATATTATATATAAAACATACATATTATATAGTACATAAAACATATATAATAAAACATATAATATATATTAAAAATATTAAATATAATATGTTATATATTATATGTAAAACATATATATTAAAAATATATATGTGTAATTATATGTGTGTAAAATAACAGAATCCCTGCCCTTATGGAGCTTACATTTTTGAATGGGAGAGGCAGCAAATAAAATAATTAAATATGTCCTGTGTCAGGCAATGGCAAATGCTCAAAAGAAAAACCAAAACAAGGAAGAGCAACAATGCAGGAGATAAGAGATGCAATCTTTAAAAGAATGGCCAAGGAAAATCTCACTGAGAAACTCACATTTCAGTGAAGATCTGAAAAAGGGAAGGGATTCAGTGACATGGTTCTCTGGAAACAGCGTGGGCAAAGGTCCTGAGGCTGAGACCCACCTGGTATCTCCCAAGTTCAGCTCAGAGGCCAGCTTGGCTGGAGCACAGGAAACAGGAGCAGAGATCTAAAACGAATGGAGGAAGGTCTGGGCAGCGGGGAAGGGAGGTGCGATCATTCATGGCCATAAGAACTTTGGTCTTTACTCTGAGAGGGGGGACCAGGCTGATGATTCTGGAGTCTGAGCTACATTGTAAGAGGATGGCCTCCCTCTCCTGGCTCTAACACTCATAAGGGTGTAACAGGCCCTTCATGGTCCCATCGGCACTCTTGGTTTTCCTGGTCCAGGCCTGCATTGCTCATGTCTATTACCTGCCTGGTCAGTGAAGGCTCTGGGTTTTGCAATTCCAGGGTCAATGGAAAACAGTAGACATGCAAGAGGCAAAGACATCTGGGAGTGAAGGGATTTTGCATTGCTTCCCGCTTGCTGTTTCAAAAAGCCCCCCTCATTCATATGATTTTCAACTTACGAGAAATTAGCTCTCTGCCAGAATTTCAGTGTTATAACTTTTTTCAAATTTACTTATTATTGAATGTGACAGATAAATTCATAAAAGGAAATACAAAAGAAATGGAACAAAAGCCATGAGCAAAAGGTAAGCATTTTTGTTTGTTGGTTTTGAACTTCCGCCCTAAGAATTTTGACCCACAAGACATGAAACAATCAAGTAACAGTCTCAGCACTCTTTAGAAATGTCCTGACTCCACTAGTAGTACTAAGGTAAAGACACACCGATAACATTTTAAGGATCAGTAAAGGCCAAGTGTCAGAAGTTAGCACCTTTGCCCTCCAATGCTGACCTTATCTTTGCACCCCTCTTCCATGACTGTGTTCATTAGGGTTGAACAGAGCTGCAGTCAGTGCCGGTTAGGGCTGTCTTTCTGTGTGCTGAGCACTGCATTTGGAGTCTGTGTCCTCATAAGTGGTGTCATTAGTGGGACTCACACTTGTGATTTGTACTGGCTGCTCTGTGGTAATGATTTCGACCTCTTCCCATCTCAAACTCTCCAGTGCTGTGGTGCAAGTAATGAGACCAGACTGGATCCCCACCACTGTACATTGTTTTCTGGCTTTTTATTGTCTTCTTACTACTGAGATTGACAAAAGCAACTTCCTGTTGTATATGCTCCACCCACACTGCCTTCTTCAGACCTTCAAGCGTGACTGCTTGTTCCTGTCTTAAAAACCCTTTGTATGCATGAAGGGTGGCTTTAAAGTACTATAGAAGTGTGTAAAACATTAATCGGATCACGACTGCTGACTCTATGCTTAGGCATGCTAGGTAAAGTGTGCATTGATATGACAGCATCAGCTCATCTAATTAAGGTGTCCAAATAGTCCCCGTTTGTCCCTGTCTCCGTTTAAACACTGAAGGTCCCAAGTCCCAGGAAACCTCTCAGTTTAAGTAAACTAGGACAGGTGAACGCCACACATTTAATGCTTACCACAACCTTACCAGGTGGGGCCAGTACTAGCCCATTTTACAGATGAGGCCTCTGAGGGTTAGAGAAGTTAAATGCTGAGGCCTCTGAGGGTTAGAGAAGTTAAATGCTTTACCTAAATACCCGTACTCCCACTCCCACCCCAGGGTTCGAGAGTGACAGCCTGGTCTTAAAGTTCTTACACAGTTGTTCTGGAATCAGCCTCAGTATAGGTGTTTTTAAAAGGTGTTCCAGGTGTCTCCTGAAACACACAACCAATTGGGGGCCATTGCTATAAAGTTAAAAAATTGGACTCAAGTAAATCTGCCTTCATCTGCATCCTGGATAAACCTCTTATTGACCATGGAACACTGGGCAAGTTGTTTAACATGCCTGGCCTCAGTTTCCTGGTCTGTAAAAGAGGGATCAGCATAGCACCTACCTCATAGGGCAGTTCAGGGAATTAAATACTTTGACAATTGTAAAGTCCTGAGAGGGGCGCTTGGCAAAGAATAAGTGCTATGTGAGGTTAGTTATTAGCTATTACAGGATAATAATTTTCAAAATGAAAAAAATGTAATATAAAGATTCAAATCATATGGGACCTGTATTATTTATTTTCAAACAAAATGTTATTAAAGTTTAAAATATGGTCATTGACTCAAACAGCATTTTCTCCCTTGGCACTTTGGACAGGATGTTCAGGCTGCCTTGAAGAAACTGTAGTTTGCGGCTTGGGCTGCTGCTTTCATTAATTTTAATACAGACATGACTAACATCTCATTCAAAATGTGAAACTAGCTTTTAATTTAGTACCATGGGTTCCTGCAGGACTGAGTCGACACACTGGGAAATATATCAATTAAGCTTGTTTCCCAGGAAGAAATAGGGATGTCTTGCAAACGACCCAAGATAGAAGGAACTCAGGCTTTGAAGGTGAGCCAAGGACAACGGTGCTTAATGAGAGCCTGATTTCTAACCACGTGTTCTTGCTCACAGGTGGGGACTAATCGCAGAAAGCCATTGGACAGGATGAGAGGTGGGGCCCTGGTTTGGGAAGTGTTTGGTATCATCCCCCCGCCCCCCAAGTTGTCCGGAGCATTGCATGTCCCAGCTCTTGCAAATGGAAAGTGACATTCTGCAGCCGTGGGTTGATACCATGGAGATGGAGCCGCTGCTTTTCTGTGGTCCTGCCTGTATATTACATAACAGTGCGATGGCTTGCATTCACCCCACGCTTTGGGGAGATTCCGCTTAATTTCTTCAGCAGTGAAAATGTAGATATCTGTATCGTTTTTCTGAGCAGAGTTCTCCCTCAAACATATTTAAAAGGGGACCAGCAGATAACGCAATGAATTGATTAAATTTTAAAATTATTATTTTAAGAGAGACTAGCTCGGCTATTAATGTGTTTGCTTGCTGTTGTTTGTACTTTTGGTTTTTCTTCCTTTTTTTTCTTTTTTTATTGTCTTCTCCAGGTGAGTTCCCTATAGGCCAGAGGTAAGCACAGGGTTGGAGGCTAGGGAATGGAAAAGCTTCCCAATTCAGGCATTTCTGGAAGCACTTCTGGATATTTCAGGGGGAGCTAGAAACACAAGGCAAAGAGTCTTTCGATCTGACACCTCTGTGTGAGCTTCAGAGAGACAATCTTCCGGATCTGGTGGTGACTTTTAAAAAGCGTCTCTGGAATCCATCCCCAGGCAGGCAGAATTTGGTCTGAAGATCCTCCCTTGAGAGCACCAGCAGGCCTTCCCCCGCAGAGACCTCCTTTATCCGTGAGCGTTCTCTTCCCAGCCCTCGTGTCCCACGGGTCCTCTCCACTCTCTCCCTGAAGTCAGAGGGCGCTGGGGTTTCTCTGGAGGAATCACTCGCACGTTCGTGAGTGGGGACCGTGAGAAACGGGAGTCAGGCTCACTTTACTGAAGCTCCACTTCCCAGCTCCCCACCCACCCCTTCCTCAGCTCAGCCTGGATCCCGCTGCTTGACTCTCAAAGCACCACATTCATGCTGGAAGCCAGCGTCACCCACAGCGTCTTCTGTGAAGACAAATCCTGGGAGATGTTAGTGTTCCGGCAGAAGAAATCCATTCCTCAAAAATAAGCAAATTTTTATTTAAGGTGATGTTTCAAGGAGATGTCAGTATATTAACGTGCTTTGCGAGTGTTTAAGAGGAAGGGATGAAGTGCAAGTTTCTCCAAAGTCGTTGGCTACCTGGAGACTGTCTCCAGGAGTTGGACTAGAACTTGGTACTCACAATAATAAACAATGCCAGGCCAGGCGCGGTGGCTCATGCCTGTAATCCCAAAATTTTGGGAGGCCGAGGCAGGTAGATCAGTTGGTGTCAGGAGTTGGAGACCAGCCTGGCCAACGTGGTGAAAATCTGTCTCTACTAAAAATACAAAAATGATCAGGGAGTGGTGGCACACACCTGTAACCCCAGCTACTCCGGAGGCTGAGGCACGAGAATCGTTTGAACCCAGGAGGCAGAGATTGCAGTGAGTCAAAATCGTGCCACTGCACTCTGGTCTGGGCAACAGTGAGACTCTATCTCAAATAAATAAATAAATAAATAAAATAAGTAATAAATAAATAAATAAACAATGACAACACTCAGCAAGCCCCTACCATGCTCCAGGACCTGGTCTCAGTACTGAAGATTGATTCAACAGTGAGAACGTCAAACAAGCACTAGTCTCCATGGGCTTACATTATGAAGGAAAAAATATAAACAAACAAACAAACAAAAACAGCTATATTATACAGCAGGAAGTGAGAAGTGACTAGAAGAAAAATCAACCCAGATAAGAAAAGAAAACAATTAAAATAGAAATTGAATATTTTATATCTTTTCTTTTTACACATTTTAAGACATTTATTTTGCAAATGTTGCAAGTTGAGATAAAAGTATAACAAATCCCCACATGCTAATTACTTTTTAAATTATCATCTTGTTTAATCTATAGATGCACCCATTCGTTTCCTGGTGTATTTTAAAACAAATTACAGACACCATTCTCTTTTAAATAATAAATGTTTTAGCATATAAATCTAACAAATAATGGCGTTTTGACACAATTGCAATGGAATTATGGCCTCTAAAACATTAATGATAATTAATTAATAGTACAGGTTGATTCCTTGCCTGAAATGTTCAGGATTAGAATTGTTTCAGATTTCAGATTTGTGGGGATTTTAGAATATTTGCATATACATAATGAGATATCTTGGGGGCAGGACCTAAGTCTAAACACAAAATTTATTTGTCCTTCATATGCACCTTATATGCATAGCCTGAAGATAATTATGTATTTCCAATAATTTTGTGCATGAAACAAAGGTTTTGGACATGAGGTCACGTATGAATTTTTTGACTTGTGGTATCATGTAGGTACTCAAAATTTCACAAATTTGGAACATTTTGGACTTGATTTTTGGATTAGGGATGCTTAACTTGTATCTAATACTCATCTAGTATTATTCCAGTAATTTGCTGATCACCTCAAAATGTCTTTTATTATAGCCAGTTTGTTAGAGTGCAAAAAAATAAGTATTCACATTGCATGTAGTTGATAAATCTCTTACATCTTACCTGGAAGGCATTTCCCTCCCCACAGCCACTGACCCAACATTTCTTCAATGAAAAGGCAGATTTGTTTTTCCTGTGTTTTTTCTCACATTGTGATCAGCTGCCTGCATGCTGGAACTTTTATGTAACATATTTATCTCTATACCACATATCTTCTGTCAATTGGTAGATAGATCTACAACCTTCATTAGATTTGGCTTCGTTCTTTAGGCAAAAATAATTCATTGACTGTGTTTGAACTTCTTGTTGCATTGTATCTGGAGGCAGATATTACAGTTGGCCAGCAGGGTCCCCTGGTGCCAACTTCGATCCTCTTTCAAAAAATGGCCTCAGCATACTTTGCTGCTCCTGGTCTAGGAGCTACTGGTCTAGGAGCAATTTTATTCAGGCTCTTGGAATTATGATTTTCAACTTCTACTATTTCTTCTGCATAATTAGCTAGAATTTTTCTATGCAGAAGAAACCCTTCTAAAGGTGGCTTTGTTTGTTTTTTAAAGATCAAGTGTGTAAACATAAAGAGGCTGTGAATGGTTAGGAACACAGGCTCTGTGGCCAGACACACCTGGGATTGAATTTTGGCTCTATCAATTTTCTTCCCCAGTCCAGGGCGATTCTCAACTGTGTCCGAGAAAAACCTCACATACCTTCTGGAAACTGTTAGTCTCCTATAAGATCAAACGTAGATGTCTGGTGACTTTTATTTAATGGTTTATCTGTACATCTTTCCATAACCAACACACAGATTTTTTTTTTTTTTAATTTTACTTTAAGCTCTGGGATACATGTGCAGAACGTGCAGGTTTGTTACATAGGCATACATGTGCCATGGTGGTCTGCTGCACCTATGAACCTGTCATCTAGGTTTTAAGCCCCGCATGCATTAGGTATTTGTCCTAACGCTCTCCCTCCCCTTGCCCCCCCACCCCCAGAGAGGCCCCAGTGTGTGATGTTCCCCTCCCTGTGTCCATGTGTTCTCACTGTTCAACCCCCACTTATGAATGAGAAGATGCAGTGTTTGGTTTTCTGTTTCTGTGTTAGTTTGCTGAGAATGATGGCTTCCAGCTTCATCCATGTCCCTGCAAAGGACATGCACTTATTCTTTTTTATGGCTGCATAGTATTGCATGGTGTATATGTGCCACATTTTCTTTATCCAGTCTATCATTGATGAGCATTTGGGTTGGTTCCAAGTCTTACTATAGTAAATAGTGCTGCTATAAACATATGTGTGCATGTGTCTTTATAGCAGAATGATTTATAATCCTTTGGGTATATAACCAGTAATAGGATTGCTGGGTCAAATGGTATTTCTGGTTCTAGATCCTTGAGTAATCACCACACTGTCTTCCACAACGATTGTACTAATTTATACTCCCACCAACAGTGTAAAAGTGTTCCTATTTCTCCACATCCTCTCCAGCATCTGTTGTTTCCTGACTTTATAATAATCACCTTTCTCACTAGTATGAGATGGTATCTCATTATGGTTTTGATTTGCATTTTTCTAATGACCAGTGATGATGAGCTTTTTTATGTGTCTGTTGGCTGCATAAATGTCTTCTTTTGAGAAATGTCTGTTCATATCGTTGCCCACTTTTTATGGGGTTGTTTGCTTTTTTCTTGTAAATTTGTTTAAGTTCCTCGTAGATTCTGGATATTAGACCTTTGTCAGATGGGTGGATTGCCAAACTTTCTAAAAGGATTACAAAAAAGAATAACACACATAGCAATATTTAAGAAATGAGCTGTTATCACTGTTTGATTCCCTGGTTCTCCGCTTTGCCCCAGGTGCCCTCAGCGTATTTTTAGGTGAGTTTTCTCCTCCTCCTCCCTGACACAGGCTTATCTCTCTTAAGTGTTGGTATCTCTGTTCTTCCTTCCATCTTCCTTCCCACCCAGCCTCAGTCTCAAGGATCAGTGGAGCATCTCCTTAGAAAGACACCTCTCCCTTACCTCATTCGTCTCCCCAGTGCTACTAACTCCTCACAGCATGGTGCCTCTAGGTCCTACCTCCTCAACTGGAATACAGGCTGTGACTCCTTTATTTTGGCATCCTCCAAGGGCATCTAACATAGGTTGGGGTACAAAGTAAGGGTTAAAAATTCTGGCTAATTATATAAATGATTGATTATCCACTTGACAAATTTACATTAATTGATTTCCTTCCTGAGAATGTTGCAGATGTTGGAAAATCCCCCTACTTTTACTTTGTAGGCCATAAGTTGAAAATTACAGGGAAAAGCAAGTCATTCAGGAGTATGTGAACCCCAAAAGTTTGTGTCAGGTCTCAGTTAATTTAGAAAGTTTATTTTGCCAAGTTTGAGGACAAACACCCATGACACAGGCTCAGGAGGTCCTGACAACATGTGCCCGAGGTGGTGAGAGCACAGTTTGGCTTTATACATTTTAGGGAGACATGAGACATCAATCAACATATGTAAGATGAACATTGATTTGGTATGGAAAGGCAGGACAACTCAAAGCGGGGAAGGAGCTTCCAGGTCATAGGTAGATAAGAGACAAATTGTTACATTCTTTTGAGTTTCTGATTAGCCTCTCCAAAGGAGGCAATCAGGTATGCAGTTATCTCAGTGAGCAGATGGGTGACTTTGAATTGAATGGGAGGCAGGTTTGCTCTAAGCAGTTCCCAACTTGACTTCCTTTAGCTTAGTAATTTTGGGAACACAAAATATTTTCCTTTCACAAGTAGTTATTATTGTTGCTGCTACTGCTAGTGTGTTTTGTTTGATATAAGGTAGTGTGTTAGTCTGTTTTCATGCTGCTGATAAAGACATAACCAAGACTGGACAATTTACAAAAGAAAGAGGTTTATTTGACTTACAGTTCCACGTGGCTAGGGAGGCCTTGCAATCATGGTGGAAGGTGAAAGGCACATCTCATATGGCAGCAGACAAGAGAAGAGAGAACTTGTGCAGGGAAACTCTCCCTTATAAACCCATCAGATCTTGTGAGACTTATTCACTCTCAACCAGAACAGCAGATGAAAGACCTGCCCCCATGATTCAATTACCTCCCACCAGGTTCCTCCCATGACACATGGGAATTCCAGATGAGATTGAGGTGGGGACACAGTCAAACGATATCAGATAGTTTATATATAATTTGTACATCTATGTATGATGCCTAAAGCCTTTTGGAACTCATCTATAGAGGAGATTCCATGACCAGAAAAAAAAAAAAACGCTCTGCAGTTTGCATGTAATCAGAATTTCCCTGTAAAACTATTGTCTGAAGCCCCAGCACTAATTTGGCTGTGTCTGTGGTTGGGACACATCTCCTAAGGCTGAAGCAATTTTATTTTTCATGTTTAAAAAACCATTTGGTGGCAGTTTTGTTTACACATGGGAGCCTCTGGATGTCTGATTTTTTTTTTCACAGGCTGGGTTTGGCACCAGAGGTCTGATTTGTCTCTCAGATGCTGCCATTTTTCCTCATTTTCTTGGGAACAAGCACAGTACGTTGGCACTTTTTAGCAATGAGCATTATTACCTAATATATCAACATCGAAAGCAGGACTGAAATGGATTTGGTAGAACAGGGATCGTTAGGGAAACAGAGAGATAAACATTGATATTTCCCAGTTAAGGTTGTCAGTCTTGTCTGAAGTACCTTGTAGAGTTTCAAGGCTATGCCCAGCTCCTTGTTTTTACAAATTGCTTTTTCCAAAGATGAACAAATAACTTTGAGTTAGGCAACTCATAAAGCTGATGACATTGAATTTTAGAGAGCTGGTTATACA